AATCCCTACTGAAGTTTGTTTTCCTTATTGGATTCTCATATATTATTAAACACTGCTTTCCTTTGAGATACCTTGGTGCTTCACTGAAGGGGAGACACACAAAAAAGTTTGTTATTATCCTTACAGATAAAATATATTTCAAAAAAAGGAAAAATAAATAAATACTATTTCAAAGGACACCTTAAAACTCTTTAAATTTGCTTCTGAAAAGTTATGGCATAAAAGCATTTTGACTTTTGTGAGTTTGAGAAAAAAAAAGGGAAGACATGAGAAATCATTCAAATGATGCAGCTTATTCCAAGCACACATTACTTTTTTAAATCATTTTATTAGGGGCTCATACAACTCTTATCACAATCCACACACACATATCAATTGTGTAAAGCACATTTGTACATTCATTGCCCTCATCATTCTCAAAACATTTGCTCTCCACTTAAGCCCCTGGCATCAGCTCCTCATTTTTTTTTCCTCCCTCGGCGCTCCCCTCTCCCTCATGAACCCTTTATAATTTATAAATTATTATTTTCTCATATCTTGCACCATCAGATGTCTCCCTTCATCCACTGTTCTGTTGTCTGTCCCCTAGGGAGGAGGTTATATGTAGATCCTTGTAATTGGATCCCCCTTTCATCCCACCCTCCTTCCATCCTCCAGTATTGCCACTCTCACCACTGGTCCTGAAGGGATCATCCACCCTGGATTCCCTGTTTCCAGTTCCTATCTGTACCAGTGTACATCCTCTGGTCTAGCCAGATTTGTAAGGTAGAATTGGGATCATGATAGTAGGGGGGGCGGGGAGCATTTAGGAACTAGAGGAAAGTTGTATGTTTCATCATTGCTACCCTGCACCCTGACTGGCTTGTGTCCTCCCTGCAACCCTACGGTAAGGAGATGTCCAACTGCCTACAGATGGGCTCTGGGTCCCCACTCCGCACTCCCCCTCATTCACAATGATATGATTTTTTGTTCTAATGATGCCTGATACCTTATCCCTTTGACACCTCATGATTGCACAGACTGGTGTGCTTCTTTCATGTGGGCTTTGTTTCTTCTCAGCTAAATGGCCGCTTGTTTACCTTCAAGCCTTTAAGACCCCAGACGCTGTATCTTTTGATAGCCGGGCACCATCAGCTTTATTCACCACATTTGATTATGCACCCATTTGTCTTCAGTGATAGTATCAGGGAGGTGAGCACACAGTGATATGGTTTTTTTGTTCTTTGATGCCTGATAACTGATACCTTCAGCACCTCGTGATCAGGCAGGCTGGTGGCACAGACTACTCTTACAGGAGGGCATATCCTAGAACAGATGTTCTTAAGGTTGGGCTGCTGTTCCCAGTAGCCTCAGTGGCCACTAGCCTCTCATAGTGACCATGAATGACACCTTGCTGAATATGAATTTCAATATTTAAGGAGGCTTGTGTGTTATTCAAACATGGGCCCTAAGTGCCAGCCAACGACTTCATCTGCGCAACAAAAGAAACAGCAGATCTGCTCAACCCAGGAGAAAGCTGAACCTTGTTGAGATGTAACTAACTATTCCTTCTTAAAAAGGCTTCCTAAGACAGAACCAAAAGAAAACCCTCCTTGTAAGAGAGAGCCCTTAAGTAGCAACACATCTGTGGAAAAAACAACCAAAAGGTTGTATTTAGTATGGTCTATTATTCACTTAATGGACCTCACTGGGCAATTCTACCTGAGGTTAATTTCAAAACCCTGCTTTTCATTATTGTACTTAATATAAACTGTTTTATAAAATTGTGACTAAAACAGCAAATATGTAGAAGCTGCAAACATGCTCTTAATCCTGTCCCAGAATGAGATGAAAGAGAAAACAAATTCAAGTAATGGGTAACTTTCTCAGAATCGCTAACGAAAATGTCAGTGGTCAAAAGGCACAGCTGCTCAGCTGGACAAAGCTGTGGACAGTCTGCTTCCAGAGCATTTCACCATGGAACCCCCTTGGGGCAGCTCTAGTGGATCATCTAGAGCTGTTATAAGATGGAGTCAAACTGATGCCAGTGAGGGGGTGTGTAGGAGCATCCAAGCCAGAGGCATTATTATTCGGCTCAACTACACTAGTCCACATCTGTTGTCCAATACCCTAAAGCAAGAGATTTTAAAACAATTATAATTATAAAAGCCCACAGTTAGCTATAGGCAGCATAAAGTTGGAGATCAGGTCACCTACCCCTTTAGCACTGGCAGAGAGGGACTCTTTAAAAAAAAAAAAAAAAAACCCAGCCATGGAGTCCATTAGAACTCATGGCTACCTTACAGGGCAGGCTAGAACTGTCCCACTACCTCTTGCATAAAGTTAAGCCTCTCATTACCACAGTCAGCATATCCATGTGAAAGCAATCAATGTACCTCCACAAGAAACACCAGAAAGAGAGGGATGGCAGAAGAAGAAAGGACAGACTAGCTGGACCTATCGGGTTGCACTATTATACCGCAAACTATATGAGGACCCACCTAGGCAAATAAAAATAAATATTCAGTAAATTACTCTGACAATTGAGATGACTAAGAACCCAAAATTTTTTTTTAATAATTAGTGTATGATGACAATATCTGTCTCCCATAGCATACACAACAATCAACACTAATTAAAAATCAATTGTAGATCTGTTAGTGTGCAAAGTGTATGCAGTCTGACCAGTACTTTCTTTCCTTTTAAAAAAACCACACATTGTGATGCATTCTTGACTCTGGAACAGCGGTGGACAACCTATAGTTCGCGACCCCTTTGGGGGTCAAACAACCTTTTCACAGGGGTTGCCCGATTCATAACAGTAGCAAAATTACAGTTATGAAGTAGCAACAAAAGTAATTTTATGATTGGGGAGGTCACCACAACATGAGGAACTCTATTAAAGGGTTGCGGCATTAGGAAGGCTGAGAACCACTGCTTTAGAATAATGAGTTATCGCAAAATGAGGATCTTTAATTCATACTAGAAACACTTGATTTTAATGAAGCACATTTTAATATTAACTCACTGCTCCTCCTAGAAGGAATTATGCTTTTTTGCTATGTATAGAAATGAAACTGTCACTGAAACATCTGGCTATATATTATTCATTAGACATATATCACCTTTACTCCAAAGACTGCATAATATAAACTCAAATCATGAATAAATCAGATGAAAGGCACAGACCTGACACCATACACTGAAGGTCAGTAACACAAAGGAAATTCCAAAGATGCTTTCTGAACCCTAGTAGTTATTTGTACGGGCTCATCCCTGCGAACTTGCTGTTTTGAGTGTTCTGCAGACGGGAAAAACTAAAAATTGCCAGGATTGTGAATGCCTGCATTGTCTACAATATTATTTTAAGTCATCTAATTTTGGCTTTTTCTATTCAGCACACTCAAAAGAACCATCAGCATATTTTTTCAAATATTCGAGGATGACTGACAAGCAGTTTTCCTCATAAAGTCTCCATTTTACTAACACACCTACTATAATTAACCTCGGGTATAGGAGGGGAACAAATTAATTCACATCTTTAGAAGAAATGAGGGGTCATATATGCTGTACTAGCCCTGGAAAACAGCCTTATCTCACTACCCATTCACCACATTACAAAAAAGTACATTAAGTACTCAAGATTTTAATGGTTACCTGTTGATTTAGACATACAGAAATGTCAAGAGGACAAGGGAGAACTGCCCAGAATCACATTGCTGCCAACTAAGGTCAATATATCAAAAGATCAAGTATTTATTTGACGATTCAGGATCTAACAGCTATCTATTTGAACAATGTTAAAACATTCAACAACTACACCTTAATGCAAGTGGGAAAATCGAATCATCTACCAACTACACGAAGTATTACAACGGATCGCTTTTAAACTACCAAAAGCAGATTGTGTAATGCACACCGCGCTTACATTATTAGTTTTAAACAAAATGCTCAGTTTACATTTATGTCTCTTACAATTTTTATTAAAAACACATAACAGCGTATCACTACAGTGCTGAATGCAAACCTAGTCTTTCCGCAGCAAATCTCTTTACCTGTCTCAAAGAAACCTGACAATTTCGAACTATTTTGCCAAGTGAAACAGCTAAAGCAGCTGACAGTCACACAATGACACGCAGAGGGGCTTCATATGAGCCTCTAATTGATCTTATTGGGCAAATCATCAGATGGATCTTCAAAGTTTGTAAGACCGATTTTTATTCCCAGCACGCAGAAAGGCGACTTCTGTAGGAAAGAAGGATCCTGACAACCAAGGGGCAGGCTACCCTGGACGGTCGACAGGGTTCAAAACGCGGCGGGAGGGCGGGGGGGCTGTCTGTGAGAAGCAAACCAAGACACCCCTCCCCCCCACGACTCCGCCGGCGGCGCAAGCTCGCAGCTCCGGAAAGCGCCGTGGTCCGCAGGAGCGGGCGTCGGCGCTCCAGGTGCGCTGCGAAGGGCCGGGAGGGTCCGCCCGCAGCCCGCGCGGAGCCCCGTCGCCGAGCTCCAACTCCGCACGCCAACCCGACTGCTGCTCCCGCGGGAGAAGGGGAGCCTACTGGCACAAAGCGCCCCTACCCCACCCTGACGGTGCCGACACACACACCCGGTTGCGAAGGGGAAAGGCGGGGGCGGGGGGGGGCCCGAATTCCACCCCGTTCCCCTCCGAAGTGGGGACGCGGAGAGGCTGAGCCCACTGCAGCCCCAGCCTCCGCGACGAGGAGCTCGCGGCGAGGGCAAAGCTCTCAGGGCTTCGCCCACTAGGTCCTCCCCAAACCGAGCTCACCACCACCCCGAGGACCCGGGAAGAAGGGAACAATGAGCAGCCGCCTCCCCCAACCAGGAGAGCGGCCGGGGGCAGCGGCGCCATCTCCACTCCCACCCCCGCGGACACACACACACACACACACACACACACACCCCAGTCCGGCCGCGGGGCCGCCGAACAGAGCCGCCCGAGCGGACGCGCGTCCTCGGCCTGCCGCTCCGGCGCCCTTCACCTCCCGGCCCACTCCACTCACCGGCGCCTGCTCCCGTCCGGGGCTCCGCTGGCCGCGACCGGGGTAAGACTCGGGGACCAGCCTCCGCGGCCGCCGGCGCCGCCGCACAATATGGCGAGCCTCGGCTTCCGCAATGGAGCTCGGGAAATACAACAGGGGCCGCTCAATATTCATGAGAGACTGAGGGGAAGCCGGCTCGGCCGGCCCTGCGGGGAGGGCGGGAAGGAG